TTTCGCTTTTTTTTTTTCACCATTTTCCTTTCCCCTCCTTGATCGCGAGTACTATGAGTGATCATCACACACCGTACGTACCGTGATCTTTACTATTTTTTTTTTTTTATCAGTATTAGTAACGTGGTTGCATAACCAGACCACAGTCTTTACTAACACTCTGTCGATTCCCTGTACTCTTTTAGTAGCCATCGATTTATTGACTTTTTCAACACTTTCCCGTCGATCGTACGTAAACGATACACGGCGTCCGATTCGATTTCATATATGTAGAATGGGCCAATTCATTTCTGATCCAACTTACTGCTCCGCGAATTCTCCTGGGACACCTTATACATTAATATTTTGTCCCCTATAGCAAAACTTCTTTCGATTCGGAGCTTCCGGTTATGTCGGGTTTTTAACTTTGCTGCGCCGTGTTTACGCGTACTATCGTGTCCTTCTGTTGTTGCGGCAACACCTTCACCAAATCAAAGACCCACTGTAGTATCATCCCCTCTAATTGCTCGCTGCTTTCCTGGTGATGAATCGGGGTTCGCGCTTTCCTCCCGTAGACTAGATAGAATGGCGTCATCTTCGTCGTCTCTTGCCACGCCGTTCAATACACAAATAGGGCGGATGGTATCATCAGATCCCACTCCACCACATTCTGTACTAGTTTTGCGATCGACTTGCACAACGTGCGGTTGAATCGCTCCACCAATCCGTTGGTTTGCGGATGGTATGGTGTAGAATAAAGGTGGTTAATGCGGAACTTTTCCAGAAATACATTCAACATGCAACTCCGGAAGTTCGCCCCTTGATCTGACAGCAGGTACGTCGGACATCCGTGTCTACATACTATTCCATCATACATAAACTCTGCCACCTTCTGCGCCATTGCTTCCCTCAGGGCGCGAGCCTCAGGCCACTTGGTCATATAATCAGTGGCAACCACTATGTAGCGATTCTTTCTGGGGGTCACAAGTAAGGATCCCACTATGTTGATCCCCATCTTAGCAAACGGTTCTCCGATGGGTATGGGATGGAGGGTTCCCATTGCTTGTTCTTCCCCTTCCTTTGACAGCGGTCGCAGAAGCGCACGTATGTACGGATGTCTTCATATAGCTGCGGCCAATAATACAAATTTCGGATTTTATTGAACATAATGTCCTTCCCTAAGTGCCCTCCCAGCGGATGATTATGCGTAAGGTATAATATCGGCCCCAACTCGTGACGTCATAGCACCTTTAGTAGGTTCCCTGGTCGGTACTTATCCTTCTTAAAAACGTCTCTTTCCTTTACCGCAAAAAAGCTACTCTGTGCCCGTATCCTCCAGGCTTGTTGCCACGAGCATCCCGTCAGCAACCGTTGTTCTTGTAGATATCTTTTCAGCTATATATATTGTTCTTCGTCCATCGCGTTTCTAGAGATTTTTTTTTTTTTTTTCTAGCCAAAACACCGGAACCTGGACTGGATTCTGTTCCTTGGATTTTTTGTTTTGTTTCGTTTTTTTATTATCGCTGTCGCTTTTCGTCTCGTAGTGGTTGCTGTCAGATTTTACGGTGGTGGTTGAGCGAATCAAGATTAGTGGCGCCCTCCGCGTCGTTCTGATAAGTTAAGTCCTCGTTCAGCGGTCCAGGTAAGTCAGACTCTTCATCTCGACTTCTTGCCTCCCCGCCGGTGGCGCTACTTTCCCGTTTCTCCTGGACGGTTAAACGAGATAACGCATCAGCGTTCGAATGCTTCCGTCCCGAGCGGTGGACTATTGTATAGCGGTACGGCTGAAGACGGAGGATCCATCGCACTCTTCTACCCTTTAGCTTGGAAGTTTCCAGCCACTTGAGCGCGGAGTGATCAGTTACCACCACGAATGGTTTCGTGCCGAGATAGTGGTGGAAATACTCAATTCCCCATATCACGGCTAGACACTCCTGCTCCGTCGCAGCATAGTTCCTTTCGGCCTTCGTCAAACTTCTACTGGCGTACGCGATTGCATACTCCCTTCTTGCGTCGTCGATCTGCGCCAACACAGCCCCTAACCCCGTCCCGGATGCATCGGTGTGCAGGTAAAATGTCTTTTCAAAATTCGGATACCGGAGAATTGGGTCGGTCGTCAGGTAGGTTTTCAATCGTTCAAATGCTAACTGTTGCTTATCTGTCCACTCATACCATGCATTCTTTTCGAGTAATTGATGTAACGGTTTGGCTATCGTCGCGAATCCGCTAATAAACCTCCGATAGTAGGAGGCAAGCCCAATAAAACTTCGTAGTTGCCTCACGTTCCCTGGTGCTGGAAAGTCTCTTACTTTCACTATCTTGTCCTCGTCTGGCCGGATGCCGTCTCTCCCCACGACATGGCCTAGAAACCCTACATTCGGTAAGAAAAACTTACATTTTTCCGCGTTCAACCTCAACGAGGCCTGTCGTAGCTCTCTAAAAACACAGGCCAGATGACTAGTGTGTTCCGGAAACGTCCGCGAGTACACGATGATGTCATTGAGGTATATGGCCACGAATTTGCCAATGTGATCGTAGAGTACCTTGTTCACCAGTCTCTGGAATGTAGCCGGAGCGTTGCATAGCCCGAATGGCATCACTTGGAATTCGTATGTTCCAAACTTCGTCACAAAAGCCGTCTTCTCGCGGTCTCTCTCCTGGACTCGCACTTGCCAGTACCCTTTAGCGAGGTCGAGATTTGAGAACCACTTTGCCTGCCCAAGGGCCTCGATTAAATCGTCGATTCTGGGTAAGAGGTGCGCGTCCTTTTTGGTTACCGCATTTAACTTTCGATAGTCCACACATAGGCGGCACTTACCATTCTTTTTCGGCACCATTACGATTGGTGATGCCCAGGGGCTCTGTGATTCTAGTATCAGGCCCTGGTCTCTCATTTTCATCAGCTCCCCCTTTATATATTCATGCTCATCCGGGGCCAACCTATAGGGCGCTTGCTTGATTGGTTTCGCGTCGCCCGTATTGATCTTATGTTGGATCACGTCGGTCTGGGTAAGTTCATTTAGCTCTTCGGCAAATAATCCTTTTTCTCTCTCGAAAAGTTTTGCTGCGTCTTCTCGTTCCTCTTCTGTCAAGCCAATCAGGTCCACCCTCGGTTTCTCGTCCTTATACTCCTCGTCGTCCTCCAACGTTGGTATCTCCTCTAGGACGGTCAGATATACCGCTGGGCTCGGAATCCCTTTGTCCATCGTTTCTTCCTCCTCGGACCGTTCCCCTGTATAATACCCTTCCTCCTCTTCTACGTCCTCGCTCTCATACTCCAACTCGTCGAAGGTATCTTCACTCTCGTCATCACTTACTTCCAATTCGTCGGGCCGCGCCAACCCCTCTATGCCGTTGTGTGAGATCGGTACCTCCAGTTCTTCCCCTCGATACCTCAACAGTATTTTCCGTTCGTCGAAGTGGATCCTGGCATTCCCTCTTTGGAACCAGTCAGTTCCGAGTAATAACGTCTCATCTCTGGACTCTATGACCCTTAGCGTCGCGGGGATGGTTACTCCTTGCACCGTTATACCTACCTCTTTTACTTTCCCTAGGGTCCTCTCCCTTGTCCCATTCGCAGTGACGACGACGGAGGTCGACTTCTCGTTGATCTTCAGCTGAAGTTTGTCCAACAATTTCTTCGTAACGATACTTACCGCTGCCCCTGTGTCTAGGGTAGCTATTACCGTCTGGTTTCCGATCCGTACATAGCATTTAGCTGCGGTCGTTTTAGGAGTATCTATTGAGTTCACTTGGTTTGATTCCGCCGGGGGTTTGGCCCGTTTCAATATTTTCGAAAGGTTGCGCCGCTGGTCGGTGTACTTCAGTAGTTGCCCGTAAGTTGCGTTTGCTTTCATGGATAGGATGTCCTCTGAGATGTCGTACGGATCTAGCGAATCCACCACTGATGGTAACCTTCTTCGTCGCGGCTTCTTAGTGGCTCCCATTGCTTTGGGGGGCTCCACAATCACCATTGGCTCCTGCGTCCTTATATATTTTGGTGCTTTTTGCGACTCGTCTACGCTTTCCTCCTCCGGGCATCTCGGTCGGCCCCTCTTTTTCACTATCGGCGTGGTGGCCCCCAGAGTGTATGCTTCCTCCTCTTCTTCTTCGTATTCTTCCTCAACCTCTTCCTCGTAACAATATTGCACCTGCGGGGTCACAGCCTTCGGAGGTTCTTTAAATACTTTTCCTTCGGGGCATTGTCGAGCTATATGGCCCTCTTTCCCACAGCTGTAACAAACTAAGCTCTTCCTCTCTTTGTTTTTCCACTCTTGTGGCGGTTCCCTCCTCGGATTCGAGTGGCTTAAGGTAAGCTCTTTGATTTGTCTTTCGAGCCTCTCTATGTTAGCTTCTAGTTGTTTCGTTGTACCCTTTGCTCTTACTCGGGTTTGTCGTTCGTAGTAGTTTCCCGCTTCCACTCTTCGCGCCGCCGCGATGGCCTCTGCTAAGTCCTTCGGCGATGTCATGGTCACGAATGTGGCAGTGTTACCCTTCAGACCGTTTAGAAACATCCTTACGACATAATCACCCGGAATCGTTCCTTTCGGGTCCACCCTGGTAAGCAAGCGTTTAAACTTCGTCGCGTACCCATCCACTTTCTCATCACTGCGTTGGCTTAATTCATTCAACTCTATTTGCCACCTGTGCCGCTTCTCCGACGTGGCGAAATGTTCTATGAGTGTGTGCCAGAAATTCAGTGTCACATCCGTATTGTCTTTCCACGCGGTAATTCCGGCTTTGTTTTCCTTGTACCAGTCAGCCGTTAGGCCTATCATGTATCCCGGAGCCACCCTAAGCTTTTTCTCGTCTTTCCAGTTATTGACCTCTGCTACTCTTTCGAACTCCTCCAGCCATTCTACCGGATCGTCGTCTTCTTCCCCGGCGAACGTCCTTG